GTGGATGTGTGGTTCTCCTCCAATGTTACCCCCAAAATGCTGGAAAACTTATTATCAGAGACAAAAACCATTTCTTATGTGGGGTGTTTGGTGCAGTGCTACTTTTTCATTGCCCTTGTCCACGTGGAGGTCTATATCTTGGCAGTGATGGCCTTTGATCGCTACATGGCCATCTGCAACCTTTTGCTTTATGGCAGTAAAATGTCCAGGATGGTGTGTATTCGGCTCATCTCCGTGCCTTATACCTATGGATTCTCTGTCAGTCTAGTGTGCACACTGTGGACTTATGGCTTGTACTTCTGTGGAAACTTTGAAATCAACCACTTCTACTGTGCAGATCCTCCTCTCATCAAAATTGCCTGTGGGGGAAAGCACGTCAAAGAATATACCATGATTGTCATTGCTGGAATTAACTTCACTTACTCCCTCTCAGTGGTGCTCGTCTCCTACACCCTCATTGTAGTAGCTGTGCTGCGCATGCACTCTGCTGAGGGGCGGAGGAAGGCATTCTCCACCTGTGGGTCCCACTTGACAGCTGTTTCCATGTTTTATGGGACCCTCATATTCATATATCTCCGGTGACCCACTGAGGAGTCTGTGGAGCAGGGGAAAATGGTGGCTGTGTTTTACACCACAGTGATCCCTATGCTGAATCCCATGATCTACAGTCTGAGGAATAAGGATGTGAAAGAGGCTGTCAACAAAGCAATCATCAAGGCAAACTTGGGGCAGTAAAACTGCAATAAATATTGTTGTGGTATGTGGGTTCCTATTTAAATGACTAAGCATAAAAACTCTAGCTCAAAAGGCACATTCTGAAAGCAACTCTCACGTTCACTAAAAGATGCAATGTAACAGAGTGATGCTTTGCACTGTGAATAGAGTCTGATTACTAAGCACACTTTACCATATAGATGCAACTATATTACGAAAACTGATATGATGTTGTTCACAGTGTGTGTGTAATTGTGCTAAGTGTATTAGTCACTGGAAGAACTCACAACTAAGTTCAAATAAATAAATGTAAATTTGGAGGTACTCTTGTTATAACTGAAGATTGTTTCCTAAGGAATTTTCTATATAGACATGTTTGTCAACCTAGATTTCATATAAAATATATAATTTCAGCAGATAAAAAAGAATTCAATTGTTGTCTATGACCATAGAATGTTGATAAACTCTATTACTTATAAAGTGTCAAAAGATGTTCACACATAGATGTATTTTTGAAAATAAAATTCTAATCAGAATCTTTGATTAGTGTCTTAATACAACTCTAAATTTTTCATCAGTGTGCATTATTTGATAGTTAATAATGTTTGTATTCAAATAGTCCCTTTTCCTATCCAAAATGTACTCCAGGGACTCTAGTATTAATTTTCTGATGTTCAAAGGATAAAATATCTCTAACAAAAGATTTTTGTGCCCTCATCTTAACCAAAAGACAAACTAGTTTGAATTATCTGAAGCTTAAATTCTGATCTTTGACAATAGGATACTCTCTCCCTAAACCATTGGTTGATAATATGATTTGAAACTTTTGTTTGCTTCCAGCATCTTCTCACTAATATTATATTCTTTGACTCTATATTTAGTAGCTTAAATCAGTGCCTACAGTAGATCAACCAAATAAGCACTGTTCAAGTAAATGTCATTGTACTGGGCATGACTTCAAATGTGATCAATACAATAAAAATGGTGCCCCATTTGGGTGTGGTTAAAAAAATCCTCAAAAGTTTACTGTTTAATTTATCTAGATTGGTGCATCTACAGCCTACTTGGTCTACATTCTATTCTTGCTGTAGACAAAATGTAAATCTGTCTACTCTAGGTGAGTCTTGCTAACTTAGTAACTCAAAGGGAAAT